TAAACTAGCTGTTGTAGCCCTAGCTAGTCTGCAACTTGACATCCCCTCGCTCTCACTGTCTTCATCACTGCTCCCAATTGCGACACTCACGCTTGGTTTTCCCTTCGCTTTTCCCTTTTTCGACTTTTTCCCTTGCCTCAACTCTGGGTGCTGCTTAAAACAATTCTTGTTTCTGTGTTGATGGGTACACAGCACGCAGTAGTCATTTGGGCCCCCAACAGCTTTCTTCTTCCCTCCATCGTTCCTCTCGCCCTCACCAGTCATCACCATCACCTGCCCCGACGACTTCCCTTTCGACTGTCCAACTTGGCGAAGCGTTGACATCATCGACTCGAGCGGCACATACCTGTTCTTTCCGTCTAGGATCTTGGTCTGCCTCCAAGTATCCAGCCAATCAACACTCTCTGTTCCCAAAACGAAAAGAAAACTTGCTAGCCCATGGCGTACAGTGTATGGATTGTCCGAGTCAGAAATAGATTGCTGGTGATGCATTGACTCAGCGGCACTGTTAACGCTCAAGTAGTGCTGCATAAACTTATCGCAGTATTCTTCGATTGTTGTGAACTTTGTGTTGATTAGATTTCTGACGGCACTCTCATACGGTGTGGCCGCACTTTCCTCTCGAGTCGTCGCTATTGTGTCGAATATTTGCTTCGCTGACATTCGCCGAAAATTCTGGGGACGAACACTTGGACTTAGTCGTCGGAGCAGGACATTTTTAGCCTCAATTTCTCCCTCTTTCCACCTCGCAGGTTCCTCCGCGTACTTCGCCGAGGTCTTGCAAAACTCGTCGTCGGTTTGATTTTCTCCCCTGATCGGTTCACGAGGTCGAAATGCCGGTTGAATTTCCTCGAAGTCATGAAATACATGGGCTAACCGACCTTTCTTGATCAGGGCCGCCTGGAGATCCGATTCCCAGTCCGCAAAGCTTACTCCAGGGGTCAAAACGATTGCTGAGCTTTTATTCATATTGTAAGGTGGTGTATATCTTTGGAGAAGTTAGGATGACTGGTTTAAAGCATTATCGAGGTGCCACAGAGAAGGACTCCGGGCTCATAACCTGTTATAATAACTAGGCTATATGGGAGCAGGACGATGGATACTCTTGGGGAAGTTATGCTCACAGTAGGTCTCTATAGTCGCTGTCGCGTGTGTTCTCGTGATATGTAAGACTTGACTCTATATTCTCGTATAAAGGAAACTTAGTTACAAATGAATGGACGGAGGTTGAGACCTCCTTATATCTTGCTCCAGACTTACTGTGTTGTTCACAGCCTAGTGCTAGAACATTCCCTTATGATATCATTTCTCTCCTACGAGAAATGACCAGCTCGTTCTCTCTCAGTCCATCAGTCTCTCGCTGATTCCGTTATCTCTATTCCATCTAGTTCTAGTTTGGTCCAGTATACTCACACATGCATCACACATGCATTACACACTAAACACCCTACGGTTTAGTTCCACAGTCACGTGCATATGCTATGACGCGACCTAAAGCATGTACCATGGTAAGTTACATGGATAACACAACACTATTCCATATTCGCCGGGCAGTACCTGATGTCTCGCAGCTAGTGCTTATATTCTAGAGGCTTAATGTGTTGCCACTCCGATCGCTTCCATTTATAGTTTTACCTAGGCGTTCCCGCGCCCGCGGCTTTGTGGCGACCACTTGTTATGCATGCGGGCAGGGCTAGGAGTAGATTCGCACCTACGGTGCTGTGCCAGATGTATACTGATGATATCTCAAAAATACGTCCAACCTATCCATAATCTACTAGTGAGTCCGGCCCGGATAATCTGCCAATGCACCGGCCAATCTGGGGAGTATTTACTGTGTCGACTTCACTCTCAAACTCGAAGTCTTGGCAAGCATAAAGCTCAATTTGTAAAACTTCCTGCTGATATTCCATGTCTCCCCCCCATCGAGACTGTACTCTTTGTTTGCCTTATCTTGAAGGATTTTACTGATTACCTTCACGTCCATCCCGAATATCTATCTGCCGACTTGTACACCACGCTTTGTTTCTTCTAGCATGTAAAAATATCGGCGTGGGCCTTTATGTGGTGGCCAGCTGAGACCAGAAAATTTTAAAGAGAGGTAAGGTAATTGAAATGAGAGTAAACTGGGTCGTACTTGCAGACTATGTGAGGACTTAGTGGGGTCCGATCTGATTTAAAAGAAAGTGATTTGTCTGAGGGTCTTGGGTTATCCCCTGCTGGGTCAACTAGCTCTGTATTGCAAAAATCGACTGTAATTAGATCTTAAAGAGTATTTCACTAACAGGTTAGTAATGGATACCGCGTTAAGTGTTCTATGTTTACTCTCCAGTCAACTGTCGTGAGCCGGCACAATCCAAATCAATTAGAAAAGGATTTCCATCGCGTCAGCACTCAATTTAGCCGTGGTAAAAGTCGGGCACTGCCTCAGAGCGCAGCTTGTGGGTAACTAGCTCACACCTAGGAGGGCGTAAGTTAGGCATCTGTCGTTGATGTCCTCTACGAAACTCGGGGTCAAATATCTCCCCACTGCCGAGATTCTGTCACGAACAAGGGTGATATGAGTTATAGTTGATGGATTGTCGGTTTGAAGGATGGACTCGGTATTTTAGTCTAAAAATCAGTCTTCAGAGATTTCACAAACGCAAGAAATCTGAGCCAAAAACTCATCACCACCAACGTACGATTCACGAATGGACCTTGGTCTGTCTGGGGGTCGTATTCAAACAATTGATACCTCCTGTACTCCCCATTTATTTGCGAAGAAGCACTTCTCGGTCGATCCAACGTCTGCGACCCAGCTCCACTCATTGCATCACGTACCTACACACGCCCTAATGTGGATGGACAATATGGAAACGAGACGTGTACAATGGAGGATAAAATAAGGGAATATACACCGAGGGAATCACTCTTTAGCGGGTGTCCAGACTCCAAATGATGACAACAACACAACGGTACAAGATGAAGGTGTAGGGCTAAGGCGACCTTGGTATTTCGGTTGACATATATACTTCTAAGTCAAGGTCTCAGGCGCCCGGTGGCCGAGACTGAGGAGGAGTTTGCGCTACGGCGAACACGCAGCAGGTTTCTTGACAGTCGGACTTGGTATGATTCAACACACAGGTGAAGTCTAACTTGGAGGGTAATGACTGAACACCAGTGCGAGGTGTCATCTATGAACCTGGGAATGAAATATTCTCCCAGAGCCAAGTTCAGTGGAATTTCGCAATTCCGAACAAGTTATCCCATGAGGCAATGAATCAAGACTCTCAACCTCATAATTTTCTCCCGTTCAACGAGATCGATCCCCACCAAGGCCTCATCACGCTTACATGTACGACTTAGTACATCCTCATTTCCATAACCACATCTCTCTTCAACTTTCTCTGGCCTCAGCTGACCGCCAAATACACGCCCAAGTCAATATTTACACCCGACCGAGAAATCAAGGCGTGGCGCACAAATACGGAAGGGAGTTCTCTTGAATGGGCGTGAGAGGAATCAGGACATGTTTACAAGATGATCTAGAGGATGGGTAGAATATTGACGGGCGTTGAATTTGGAATTCGGACAATGAGTCTTGTGAATTGAGCTCTGAGCTCTGAGCTCTGAGCGAGTGCTATGACTTCGATTGCAATAGTATAGGCGACGCTATAAACACCGCCTTGCTTGGGTATTGCGATGGTATATCATCTGGGGCTGCTCTCCTAAGTCGATTCTAGTTAGATTTGACACATATCCCACTCGAGACTGGAGATCGTTGGTTCGAGCACGGCAAAAGACAATCGTATTTCTCGCAGCGTTGATGAAAATTCATGGTGAAAGCAGACTTGGATAATCAAAGGTTTTGAAACGTTCCTTTGACAGGTTCTCATGGAGGAGGGCCGACTATTCTGCGTTGATAAACATACCTTAAAACCTTATTTACGAACATATCAAGAGTTTGAGTTTATCCAATGTCTAAAGGGTCATTTGACATGTTTTATAGCTAGATAGCTGAGTACAGAATAAATGATTTAAAAAAAATAAGTCTTAAGTCTTTCTTTCGGTGAAGTGAGACGAGGTTTCTTATAGTTAACGGATATTTACATTGTATTTACATTGTAGATAACCTCATCCAGCCCTACCACACTCGTGCTCTAGCTCCCATGGGAGTGCGGAAGGTTCCAATTGCCCAGCACGTTTGTAAACAAACAACAATCTGGCCTATACCTAGATAATGTAAGCCTGTAAGGAGAACAGATATTTGTCTGCGTAATGGGAGGTTAACGTATATAAGTCAGGTATTTTATACGTAGTTACTTTTGATCTCCAGTTGATGAATACGTCGGTGTATGATATGCTTGCGTGCTAATATCTTATATCGGCGAAGAGCGCTAGAGGTGGCCTTTTAGTATGGAACCCGAATCTCTCAAAAGGGGGAGATCCGATAGAAATATACTGCATGTTTTTGAGCACTTTTAAGGGATCAATATTAAGTGAGACCCGCTGTACCACCATTAGAATTACCTTATGACACAAAAACTCCGAAGCTTTCTATATAAACTTTTAATCTACAGAACAACTTACCTAACGCTTCAGGGACGGTGGAATAGACTTTGACAGCGCAGTAAATAGACGGTGTATGTTGAGCTACAAGGCTTGGCTGAGCTTTTTCTCAAGTCTGCGAATTTCATCGAGAGGAAGATCTAGACATAGTTCATATTTGCTCAAGATACCATTTTTGCTATCAGCTATGTACAAGCCGTACGTATTAAGGCTGATATGATAGCCTATCGCGAACGCGTGCGTGAAGCCTAGATTTGTAGAATTAGCAGAATCTTCGTTTAATTTATCATAAATATTTACTTTTAGATCGTGTTTCTGGGATTCTCACTGGCCAGAAAAGTAATCCATTCTGTTTTACAATGGGAAAGCTGAGTCTTTTACGATCCTCATTTGCTGACCATCTTTTCAAGGCGAACTCTATAAAAAGCCATATTGTTTTGTACTTGAACCTATGTCCAACGCAAGTCTTGGGCCAATACATATTTGGTGTTCTCTCCATGTTTAAGATAGAAGATGGGCTGTAAATTGTATCGGGTGAAGCCGATGGTAGATCCCAAACAGACACATTTCACATCCTTAGCTTTTACGTCGATTATCCCCTTGAATTCACGATTCGTCATGTCAAAAACAGCACGAAATCGACCATGTGGGCCTGGCGAAGGGGCGTTAGATATTTATAGCAATCAGTATTGGGGAATACAAACACCACAAATTTGTTCGCTCGTTGAACTATGATGCAGGGGATAAGTACGAAGATCACTTCCGATGAATTGATCGCCACTATATTTCCCAAAGTAGGCTCTCCGAGATTTGGCGGCCAGTGCATTTTTGAAATAATAATCTGAGTTTGGATCATTTCCACTCTTAACTATGGAAAGTGGAAAATATTTTGAGCCACAGCGAAACCCGTTTGTGGGATAAGCTAGACTCCAATATTCATCCAAAAGACTACTCGTGAAGTCTTCCTCAGCAACTGAACTGCGTACTGGTTTACATTTCTCGAAACTGACTTTGTTCTTGTCATCATCGTGGACTATAACTACCATACCCATAATTTGACCCCTGATATTGATGATGATGCGGAATTTACCTGGATTCCCTAGTCCCTAGTTCAGTTGCAGTTTTTGTGTAGAGATAGTACAATCTTTGGGTTTGATTTACCCTTGATATAAATTTTCCCACTGGGCTTAACAGGCCATGAGAGAAGAATGTCTGTTTTCACATTAAATAGATGTGTATCTTCGAATAATTTCGGGAATGTTTGGAAACGTCTTTCATAGAAAAATGATTCCATCGCTTCATATTTTTCTTGCCTTGCATACTCGATAGATAAAAATTCAGTTTCACATAAAAAGCCATTGGTTCCATCTGGAAGGTACATATCCGAGTATGGTGTATCTATACATTTGACTTGATGAATTAATCCTGTTATGAAAAGGGAGATGCAGAATTTAATCCACATATTGACTCAAAGATTAGATTGAAAAGTCAGTCGTGAAATGAAAGAGGCAAAAAATTATGGCGTCGAGTGGGCGTCTTAGAAATCTTACTTGTGTAGAGGCCGTTTCCGATTTCTCAAATCTTCAATAACAAATTAACCTTGGTTGCATGCGTAACTATGTATAGATGGCCAAGTGACTGATTTTAACTAGCTCAATGAAAAGATTAAGCATTCGAGTCAGGCCACAAGAGACCCTAGATATATTTAAGGAATCGGTAGCAAATCACACACGTCCCTCCATAGTGGATTATCAATAACGGCCTGCCAAATGAAAGCCCCCAGAGCTGACGCAATTTCTTAGCAGCTTCTTAGGGCGGCTTGGCCGCGCAGTGAGTGTGCTTTTCGAGGGCTCACAACGACTGAACCAATTATTAGAAGCATTCATGCTAGCCGATGTGGTTCTTCTTTATAAGCCTGGCCGTGATCACAATACAGCCAAAAGATAGAGGCATATTGCACTATTTTCCTCCCTCGGCAAAGGTGCCGCTAGAGACTAGTTGCATGGCGTATGGCTTGCATTTCCCTTTCTTGTAAGGCGGTACCGTAGCAGCTCTTCGGAGTACTTTCTGGCAGATCTACGAACGACCTTGTCTCACACATCATCCACCATGTGCAAAATGCAATGCAAAAGAAGAAGGAAGCAGTCCTTGTCATTTTGGACGTACATAGATTATTTGACGGTGTACTTCACAAACGACTGCTGCAAAGGACGAAAGAAAAAAAGTGTATTGGCCAAAACCAGCCATCACTTGGATAGAGTTCTTGCTACTTGAACGATTCGCTCGCAGAACAGAAGCCTTGCTACAATATTTGAAAACTTCTAAGTGTATATCATTATACAAAGGTAATATATTAGGCACACAAACAGTTGGAACAGGAGAGGAATAAGTGTACAATGGTACAAAATAATGCGAAAAGTATTTTGGAAGCTTAATTACTACTGATGTTTGAATCGTGCTTTAAGCTTGCTGTATTTGTAAATTTAAACTGTCATTCAGGAGATTATGGCTAGAAAAGGTATATTGGTTAAAATGGCTGGGGTGCGATCTCTTTTTATTTTGCATCAAGGGGTGCGATCTCTTTAACTGTAGATTTTTTATTTTTTTATTTACATTCGGTCCTAAGCTAAAGCTATGTTTTCCGCCTTGGGTCAAAGACCGGTGGAGCCGGCAGGGTTCCCTGTAATCTTTCCTACGGCCTAACTCGTTCCAGCCTCGTGAATCTCTGCCAAAAGTGCAGCTGATTAAACTGAAACGAAAAACCAAGAAAATTAAAACAACTCCGAAAAAACCAGAGATTCCTTCACATTGGACCCAAGCAATATGCTTCTCACACATTCCCTCGTCCGTCATGTTGTAATCTAACGCTTTTCATCCTCGGACTTCATGGTGAGCAGTAGTCGTATAGCACGTGATGTCATGCGGGGGAGAAGGAAGAGGATGGCGAAAGCCGCTAGCCAGATCTAAGCGATCTGGCCCACTTGTAGATGTAGAAATCCTTTTTTGTATATAGACAATACATCCCTAACAAGTAAAACAACAATAGTAAGGAACTCATACATCCGCACCTCAGTTATCTCATACATCGTGACCCATAAACCTCACTCTCATATCTATCACTCCACGACAAAGCTTCAACACGTCACACCTTCCAAATGACAAAATTTATTCAATCTCCGCTGAGAGCAAGAGATGAGTTAGCAGGCACCTTTGATCCAGCCGGTATCCTGCTATTGGTTAGTAGATGCCCCAAAAGGGACATCGTCGAGGTTGCTGTGTCCTCAAACTTCTTCTTCAGATCCCAGAGCTCCGAAACCTGTTGCCTCGGCCATCGAGACGTCCTTCGCAGCGGCGATGATCGCCTCTTCAGCCTTTTTTGCTGCAGCCCTGGCTCGTGCCACCTTCGCGAACTCCCCTTGTTCGATATGGCGGATCCACGCGAGCTTCTCTTTGGTCACCGGTCCGAATTTTTTGGTCTGACTTGGCAGGCCCGAGAATCCGATCGGTGAGGTCCCCCACAGTTGCGACAGCGTGTGAGGGCCTTGCACTCTGTTTCGGAGTGCATATTTGATCCGCAGTTCCAGCAAGCCGGAGCGCGGGAGCAACCACGAGTGGCGTGGAAGCCCAAACAGCGTTTGCACTGTTCAATTGATCGACGAGGCTTATGGATGGTAGCCATACCCGAATCGTCGAAAAGGCGGAAGCCCGCACGAGGGGCTTCGTCCCGGTGAAAAAGGGCATGCCAGTTTCGATAAGGCGATCCAGGCCGACATGTCCCATGAGGTCGGACCTGGATTGGATACGCGCTGGTCGTAAGGAAGATCTCAGAGGTGACACTTGCAGCATCGGTCGCTACGGGGCCGTACTGTGAAACGATACTTACAGGTACGTTCGGTATCTGTAAGGCGACAAGATCCGAAGATGCTTTGAGTTTGGCGTTTTCACTTGCCAGCTTCGGAGAGACATCTAGGATCTCTTGTCGTATTTTTTCGTTCTTTGCTATAATAGCAAAGCCGGTCTTTACTCGATGAATCGAGGTTATGTCATTGTAAGAGAGATTAAGCGTGTCCGCTCCTTTACTTTTAACAATGTTGTTTGAGAGATTCCGCCATGGGTGCTCCTTTTCCAGGCGAAGGAACGGTCGCTTATCGACTTTCACCTTGGGAGCTTCTTTCTTTTGGGCTCTCGCCGCAGGTCGCGGCATAGCCTTTGCTATAGGAGCTGCATTTTGTCGCAGTCCATTTTTGGCCACCGTAGCCCAGGTGCTTTTTACAGGCAGCACTGGGACGGCGGGAGTTGTATTGCTCCTGGCTTCTGGAGCCCTTTGGGTCGGGTTCGCCTGGCGAGGAGGGAGAACGGGTGGCGTAGTGGACGGGCCCGTGGCCATGTATTGCGCAATGGCGGCGCGTAGGTTGACTCTTATCGTGTCTACGAATTGTCTATTTGACCCGTTGGTCAAAGGGAGAAGGATGGCTTCGACGCCAGAGATGGCGGCGGAGCAGAGGGCTAGATTTGCCGCTGTTTCGGCGGCGCGTCGTTGTTCAGCTTCGACTGTTGGTCGGAGCTCGAGGGGGCTCTCTGCTTTCGTGGCAGCCTTTGGCTGCGACGTTGATGTTGACGCTGCTATGGGTGTAGCGTTTTCCGACGATTTGGAGGTGGTCGGACGAGGTTTGGACGATTCTTCAATGCCGTGGGGGACTGAGACTCGTTGAGGAATTTCCTCAACAACTTCGACTGACCCGATCATTTCAGTATCGGGTTCAGTGACGGCGGGGAGGGCTTTTTCCTTCCCTTTAGTTGAGACCTTGCTCATCTCCGCGCATTTCGGAGACTGGGCAAGGTCAGGTAAATTTTTGAGAGCCCTCGGGCGGACTCTCGTGTTGTCCAACTTGGCGTTTGGACGCTTTTTACGAACAGGTGGCATGGTTAAGATGCCAGCGACTCGATGACAATTTATTGTAGGAATGCGACGAGCGCGAGAGGGATGGAGATGAGGAAAGGGCGAAGATTCGAAAATTCGAATTCTCTCAAAAATTGTGTGTTTGTTTGCTTTCTATTTTTAAGTCCTAGGATATACCCGTTTTCCCCTGAGGGTCAAAGACCGGGGTTTACAGCTTAGATCATATCTATGACATTCTCAACTTGTTCCCACCACGTGAACCGCTACACAAATAGTAGCAAGTTAAATTACATGCAGCCATATAAAAAATTAAAAATAAAAATAAAAATCATAACATAACTCCAGGCTCAAAAACTTTGAGCTTCAACTAAATATCTGCACTTGTGGTTGGGAAGCAAAACTTCTCGCCTCGTTCCCCTTCCGATCGAGACATGTTACATGACTAATTTATATGGACCTCGCAGAGAGCAGAGGTCCAGCCTGCAGCTGATCACCCATAACATCGGGTTTTCTGTGCAAAATTTCTGAAGGCTTCAAGGCACTTTGGTCCGAGAAGTCATGTATGAAGTCGTCGTGGGACTTTAAACCTCTGATTCGACGTGTCTCGTGAGAATAGAGCCGACAGTGTATAAAGTGGGTTGGACTAGTCTCTTTTCCACACGCGCACTCACTAGGTGCGTCTGCATTGTTGAATCGGCGATGATAGGCCGCAAAATTGCCGTGTCCCGTACGGGCTGCAATTAGTTCGCGGAGTAGATGCATTGATAGGGCCAGCTCTGGCGGCTTGCGCCGTTTCATGAGCAGATCTAGCTTTCGATACCGAACAGGGCACGCTTTATCCCACCAATCGTTGAGCAAAGCCTGAAGCCGGTTATTCATGAGACGGCGAAGGTATGCTAACGAAATAGATACTGGTTGGTTGTCCGGACTGGGCAGCATTCGTAAGCCGAGGCGCGTAGTTGCGTCTACTTCTTCGTTCCCTTGTATTCCAGAGTGACCGGGGATCCACTTAATCGTCACAGCAGCTGACGTTGAGAGTATGCGAAACTGACGTACCTCTTCGAGGCTGGTTGAAGAGATGCCCGTCTCAAATGCTTTTACAGCATGCTGACTATCCAGAAACACATTCACTCGCCGTATCGTCTCCCCCAGCAGCCGTTGCGCTTCTTTAAGTCTCAACGCCGCCTCAAGAGCCTTCAGCGCCCCTGTGATTTCTGTGTCCAAGACTTCTCCTCCGTGTCGGATACCATTCTCCTTGAGAAGAGTTTTACCATATATCTTCACAACAAAACCCCAAGCTGAACGTCTGTTTCCCTCCGAAGAGCCGTCTAAGTAGGCGCAAATTTCCGATGCGGGCAGGTTGTCTATCCAAAGTTTGCTTGCTTCTTTTCCTTCTGACTTGGTCATGTATCTAGCAGAGTAGGATGGCGGCGGCAGAGGCATCGAAGCTTCTGCATCCGGAAGTTGTCGATAGGCTCGCTGTGCACGAGTCCTTTGTCTATCTACATGTTCAAATCTTCGAGGGTTTTCCTTGTACTTTCGAGTCCCAACGTTTGGGCACATCGCAGCACGAGATCTCAACGGGTGCCGATCATCGAGGGTTTTTATTCTGGCTGAAAATCGTAGTCGGTTTCCCTCTAGAATAATATTTGCGGGAGGGATTCCTCCTTTCCTGTGCAGGACCACATTAGGAGTAGTCCGCGGAACCGAAAGTGCAGATTGGCGACCCATACGTAAGGGCTGGTCTCACTATAGCGCTATAAAGCAGCTTTGACTTGTGAAAACTGGCTCCCCACGTGAATTTTGTCAGCTTACTTATGGCCTGGACCTGTGTCTCAGCTTCCAGCTTTAGACTGTTGATGTGCGCCCCCCAGTTTAGCTTCGGATCAAAGAAAATTACAAGGACGCGCAGGGAAGGCTTTTTTTTTTTTTTTTTTTTGCATCAGATTTTAATTGCGTATGCAGCTATCTAGCTATGACACAATATCAAAGAAAAGTACAGAATAGATGACTCAATTTACAAGAGGAGCACTCATGCCTCAGATTTCATTTGCAAGTACCACTGCGAAGTTATGGTGGCTTTTTCTTCACCCCAAGTCAACCCTCATCTGTGAATACCCACCCAGGGGAACGTCTCAAAAACCCTGAGTTATCCAGACATGCCTCCGTCATCCATCAACTTTTCTCCGCGCGAAATATGGTCTGAGATGTCTCCTTCCCAAGTATAGTAGGTGCCCAGGCTACCCAAACCATACCAGAGAACACCACCAGGAGGCGGACCACAACACCTTCCATCGTCTGCTTGTTTTTATAGTGTCAGCTGCACTCTCGCAAGCGAAGTCTTGGCGCGCACAAAGCTCAATTTGTAAAAACTCTTTGCCAAATTTCGAAATTTCACGCCCTTCGAGGTTATATCTTTCCTTTGCATCATCTTATGAACTTGTCCTGATCACTCTCACGTCCATCCCAAAGATTTATGTCCCAGATTTTTGCTCCACGCTTTGCTTCCTCCGTCGGGTATAAATATCGGCGTGGGCGTGTATTTGGTGACCGGCTGAGGCCAGAGAGAGTCGACGAGAGGCATGGTCATTGAAACGAGGATGTACTAGGTCGTACTTGTAGACTTGATGAAGCTTAGTTGAGAATCGGACTCTTTGGGAGTGAAAGATTGACATGGTGGATTAATTTGAATTTTTGCCTCGTAGGCCAACTTCTTAGATATTGCGAAATTTGACTGAACTTGGCTCTGGGAGAATATTTCACTCCCAGGTTCGTAGAGGACACCGCGTACAGGTGTTCAGTCTTGCCCTCCGCAGGGAAGGCTGTGGCGCTGTAGTGTGACTCTGGATCTGAACTGTTGCTTTAAGACCATCTCTCTTCCTAGCTCGAGGGAAATGCATTAGTTGGTACTTCTCAGGCGCAAATCTGACTCCGTGCGTTTTTGCCCACTGCTCGCCTGAGTAAATAGTTGTTCCATTGACAACTTCAATTGGAATTTTAGTTGGGTAAATATGGCCAATAAATGAATTTTTATATGGGGTGAGATGGTATGAGCACATTAAATCAAGGCCCCAAGCACCAATTAATGAGCTTGAGGTAGCGGCACAGATATATGTAGAGATTTCTCGACCTATGAGAATTTTCCTGCTATATTTACCCATTTTAATGTGAACATATTGATGGTATGGAGACAAATATTTATCAGGGGGACTATTCTCAACACCTGTCGGTGGCGTCCCATACAAACCTCCAGCTCTCACTGTAGATTTTGCAAAGCCGAGATTGTGTAACAAAGTGCTCACTTCGACGAGAATTCCAAATCGCTTTCGCAGTCTGTATCGTCTTCACCTCTCAACACATTCCCCTGTCAACAATATCATGAAGCTAACCACGATCAGATTAGATGGTAGGGTCGGAGCCCTAATCGTTACTAACACTTGATCATGGAGGAAAAGCCATCCGATGAGCTTCCTGAACGTACCCAGCACCCGATATGGAGATGGTGGATTGGATCATGTCGGACTCGACTGTTACAAAGAAGGGAGATGTAGATGAATATGCGCACCTCATGTGGTCCCGGTGTCTAGGCCTCGCCTGGCTGGGGTTGCAGGTTTTTTGAGACTTTTATTCGCGCACGCAGTTTCCGTAGCTACCTTTTTTCAATTTTTTTTTATAGGTAGACGGTTCCGAGGAAAAGGTGGCTGAATTCCATGGGTAGATGCAGCGGCAAATAGCTGTCTGGCATGAACAGTTAATCAGGGAAATTTAATGAATGACTCAGGGCGTTTGACGACTTTTCCGGGGCGAGTATTCGCGGCTGGGGGTTGAGCTGGGGTGAAGAAAATTCCGCCATAACTTCGCAGTGGTACTTGCAAATAAAGTATTATGCACAAGTAATTAGGTTTGAGAATGAGTTATCCTATCTTTACTTTTTCTATGAAATTTTTCCAAAGCTAGATAGCTGATTAAAATTATCTTATATTTAAAAATGAGATTTTCCAATTAAGTAGTTTCCTGTTGCGCCAAGTCTAATGACTGACTCCTCAACGCACACGCAATACTGTTATGATATGGAAACACACTAGTCTTACTGTGGACAGTCAAGGGTACGCACGAAAATGTTGGGCTCAACTTTGTAAGGAAAGAGCACTGAGAGACTGGCTCGACCACCGTAGCGCAGAATACATTATTCTTCCCTAGTACGTAGTTAGTAGGACACATAGTTCACACACACACACCTGCATTCATGTATCCACTTACTATTATATTATCTTTCTCCATTTATTACGTGAGTTACTCATCGCATCTTTTAGAACCCACATACGTGCTGTAGCCATCACGTCACCTCAGGAATCACAATTATACCCCATAACGTATAACCATAATAAATATAACTTCAGCTTCTACATATGTCGAATAAGATTTGAACTAGTTCTAGCATACCAAATTTAGAAGACGCAACATGATGGGCTAAAAGAAATTATTACTAGAATTCAGTGGTCCATATAAGTTTTAGTTTATATAAGGGAGAGTAATTGTAAAATTTGCATCAATCCATGCTTAACGCCGCAACATGATAGACACTTTACTTTTCTTCAATATCAGCAGACTAAACCCCTAACTGTAGTGTTAATTGCGAACGAAATCCAAAGTATGGGTGTTTTTAATTTCTAAAGAGTTATCCAATATGTATGCATAGCACCGATAATGTGACGTGGCAAGAAAGCTAGATATGGTTAAATGATATCAGAAAAAAGATACTACACACCTAGCCACTTGACACACGCTCTTAAGTGCCACGATAAAATAGATTTTGGTCTAAGTCTTCCAATTATATCGTTTGGAGATCATCATAGATTAGATTCGGTACTTCAAATCTGAAGCCATGGGTTGCAGGATGGGCATAAAACCCATCCTTGAGCTACATCTTGTAAGGCCAAACCGTAATACTTGATAGACAATGAATCAGTCATTTGCCAGCGGGTGATAGTCCACTGTGGAGGGAAGTGGGTAATGTTCTGCTAAATCCACAAGTATACAGGGACCCTTATGGCCTGACTCGAATACTTAATCTATTGATTGAGCTAGCACAAATCAGTCACTTACCGGTCTCTACATAGTTACATATCTAATCAAAATTAATTTGCAACTGAAGTTTTGCAAAAACCGAAAAAGGCAGCTCAAGAAGTGAGATTTGTAACACGTAAACTCGGCATCATAATTTTTTCACTTCTCATTTCACGATTCAACTTTTCTATCTGATTTTATTGTCAACATATGGATTAGGTTCTGCATCTCCCTTTTCCTATCAGGGTTAGTTCATCAAGTCAAGTGTATAGATAGACCATACTCGGATATGTACCTTCCAGATGGAACCAATGGCTTCGTATGTGGAACTGAGTTTTTGTCGATCGACAATGCAAGAAAACAAACAAATGCAGTGATAGAGGCATTTTTCTTCGATGAGCGTTTCCAAACATTTCCAATGTTATTTGAAGAATCGCATCTATTTAATGTGAAATCAGAAATTCTTCTCTCATGGCCTGCTAGGTCCAGTGGGAAAGTTTACACCAAGGGTAAATCAAACCCAAAGATTCTTTTTCTGTATCCAAAGACTTTAACCTACCCAGGCAATAGGAAATCCAGGAAAATCTCGCCTCATCATCAATATTAGGGGTCAAATCATGGGTATGGTGATTATCAAAACTCAGTATCACAATCATCATCTTAGTTTCGAGAAATTTAGCCCAGTACGGAGCTCTAATGCTGAGGGCAACATCGAAAGTAGACATTTGGATGAATTTTGGAGTATTGCTTTTCCTAGATTTGGGTTTCGTTGCGGCTCGAGATATTTTCCACTTTCCATGGTTAAGAGTGGAAATGATTTGGACTCAAATTATTATTTCCAAACCGTACTGGACGCCAAGTATAGGAGCGATGAATTTGTGGAATATAGTGGCGATCAATTTATTGGAAGTGATCTTCGTATTTATCCTCTGCATCATAGTTCAACGAGCAAACAAATTTTTGGTACTTTTATTCCCAAATACTGGTTGCTACAAAAATCTAACGCCCCTTCGCTAGGCCCACATGGTCGATATCGTGCTGTTTTTGACATGACAAATCGTGAATTCAAGGGGATTATCGACGTAAAAGATAGGGAAGAGAAATGTGTAACTGTTTGGGATTTATCATCGGCCTCACCCGATACAGTTTATAAGCCAACCTCTATCTTACACACGGAGAGAATGCCAGACAAATATTGGCCTGCGACTTGCGTGGGAACTAGGTTCAAGTACAAAACAATATGGCTTTTTATAGAGTTCGCCTTGAAAAAGTGGCCAGCGAACGGGAACCATAAAAAATTCAACTTCCCCATTCTAAATGAGAACGGATCTCAATTCTGGCCTGTGAGAATCCCAGAGACACAAACTAGAAGTAAATATTCATGATAAATTTAACCAAAATTCTGCTAATTTTACAAATACAGGCTCCACGCACGCGTTCGCGATAGGTTATGATACCGTTCTTAATACTTATGGTATGTACGAAGCTGTAGTGCGCAATGGTATCTTGAGCAAATATGAACTATGTCTGGATCTTCCTATCGATGATATTCGCAGTCTTGAGAAAAAGCTCAGCCAAGTCTTGTAGCTCAACATACACCGTCTATTTACTGCGCTATCAAAGTCTATTCCACCGTCCCTGAAGCGTGTGGCAAGTTGTTCTGTTGATTAATATTTTATGTGGAAAGCTTGGGAGTTTTTCTGTCATAAGGTAATTCTATTGTTAGTATAGCGGGTCTCACTTGGTATTGATCCCTTAAAAGTGCCAAATAACATGTAGTGCATTTCTATTGGGTTAACCCCTTCTGAGAGATTCGGGTTCCATACTCGAAGGGGCACCTCTAGCGCCCTTCGCCAATATAAGATAATAGCACGCCCGCGTATTATACACTTACATATCCATGAAATGCAGTTATTTACCGACATATTCATCAACTTGAGATCAGAAGTAACTACGTATAAAATGCCTGACTTATATACGTGAACCTCCCATTACGCAGACAATTATCAGTCCTCCTGAAAGACCAACATCATCTAGGTGTGAGCCAGATTATTGTTTGTTTACAAGCGTGCTGGGAAATTGGCACCTTCCGGACTCCTATTGGAGCTAGAGAGCGAGTGTGATAGGGCTGAATGGGGTTAACTACAATGTAAATACCATATAACTATAATAAACCTCGTCCCACTTCACTGAAGGAACAACCTACGAATTCTTTTTTTTAAATCATTTATTGTGCATGCAACTATCTAGCTATAAAACATTTTAAATGACCCTTTAGACATTAGATAAACTCAAACTCTTGATATGTTCGTAGATACAGTTTGAAGATATGTTTGCTAACGCAGAAAGGTCGGCCCTCCATGAGAGCCTATCTGTAAGGATTCTGAAGAAATGCCTTAGGCAGGGATTATGGGTTCCTTATTTAGTCCCACTAGGCTTTTTCTTCTGCATCAGTTTTTAATTGCGTATGCAGCTATCTAGCTATGATACCATATCAAAAAAAAGTACAGAATAGATGATTCAACGTGTGGGAAGAGCACTCATGCCTCAGATTTCATTTGCAAGTACCACTGCGAAGTTATGGCGGCTTTTTCTTCACCCCAAATCAACCCTCATCTGTGAATACTCCCCCAGGGGAACGTCTCAAAAACTCTGAGTTATCCAGACATGCCTCCGTCATCCATCAACTTTTCTCCGCGCGAAATATGGTCTGAGATGTCTCCTTCCCAAGTATAGTAGGTGCCCAGGCTACCCAAACCATACCAGAGAACACCACCAGGAGGCGGACCACAACACCTTCCATCGTCTGCTTGTTTTTATAGTGTCAGCTGCACTCTCGCAAGCGAAGTCTTGGCGCGCACAAAGCTCAATTCGTAAAACTCGTTGCCAAAATTCGGAAATTCACGCCCGTCGAGTTTATATCCTTTCTTCGCATCATCTTGTCAACTTGTCCTGATCCCCCTCACGTCTACCCCAAAGAACTGTCTTCCAGATTTGTGCGCCACGCTTTGCTTCCTCAGTTGGGTGTAAATATCGGCGTGGGCGTGTATCTGGTGACCAGCTGAGGCCAGAGAAAGTCGAGGAGTGGTGTGATCATTGGAATAAGGATGTACTTGGTCGTACTTGTAGTCTTGATGAGGCTGAGATATGAATCGAACTCTTTGCGAGTGAAAATTTGACGTGATGGAGTATTCTGAATCATTGCCTCGTGGGCCAACTTCTTTGATATCGCGAAGTTTGACTGGACTTGGCTCTGGGAGAATATTTCACTCCCAGGTTCGTAGAGGACATCGCGTACAGGTGTTCAGTCTTGCCCTCCGAGACTAAGACTTTTTTGACGTCCTTTCACGACCTTCGATTTGTCCTGCGGCATGAATAAAGGGAGGAGTAAGGAGGAGACTAGGAAGGTTGAGAGACACTCTTAGGTATACACAGGTCTGCTGTGCCCGGCTGGCCGGCCTATTCGTCATAGGAGAGCCCCGCACTCAGTGGTTTTTGAGACTTTTCCCTGCAGCTACATACCCGCAAATGGCCTTCGTTTCGTTGGCTGGAGATGTGAGACAATGACGAGATAACGGCTCCTCTCAGTATGTACTCGAATGAGGACCTGTGGGAGTTATCACTGCTGGAAAGAAGTCATGAAGGAGGCATAGGAGGGAGTACACTACCCAGGGCATAGATACTCCCGGCCTGTTGGCAGAAGGGACCTACATGTCCTTACATAGTCATAGTGTCGGTTTATCTAAGACGTAAAAGTAGATGTGTCATCATGCTGGGATCACATGATGACTTCAGCATGGATGCGCTAGCCAGGATCCACAGTATAGCTGTGCACACACCTAGAATTATACACATCTTCCAGCTGAACTCAGCCATTTTTGCATATCTTCTAAATCAATTTCCAGACCCTTGATCGTTACAGGACGATAAGATGCCCCACAGGAGGCGTAAAAACCCTGCGATACTCGTATCCCCCGCTCGAACTGCCCCGCGCGCTGCGAAACGTGCGAGGCCTCGCCGACCTCTTACAACCATCCAGGAGGAAGTCATCTTAGCAGCCGAAGCTGAGAAACAATTACCTCCACCCGAACCCATCGACATGGACTCAGAAGATGAATCTATGGACCTAGGGCTTGAAAACGAACCTCTTCCCCACCCTGTCCCCGAAAACGTATCACCTAATCTCACTTCAGTCCCCGCGCTGACAACAGCCGTACAAAGGCACTCCCCGCAAAAGATTCCGAAAAGAAATTCTGGTCAGGGTCTCTCTAGCTCGATTCACACGTCGACTAAAGACGTCGCAAACGAGCAAGAACTCCGCCCAAGTCTTCCCCAACCCGGCCCGCGTACAACTTCGAGGATTATCGAACGCCCCTCGGCAGCTATGATAAATGTCATAGCTGCTTCATTGTTGGCCTGGCAAAATGCTGGAGCCCAAAACCTACGGGCCCTTCCGCCTACAATTGCAGCGGACCTTAAGGCTATTGTGACGCGAAGCATAGCTCGAGTTATTGCAGGTCTTCCTGTCTTTGAACCTCCCCAAACTACTCATAACTTAAAAGTTAGCGCGCAGCCAAGCCCAACAAATGAACCGCTCAAAGTTTCTTCGTACGCAAATGCTGCCAAGAAAAACCTGGCCGTACAGAAACAACCTCCAAAGGCTGTATTCAGGGCCACCCCCTCGACTAAAAAGCAAAGGCCAGACCCAAGAGTTATGATACGCCTAGCGCCTGACCATCCTTTGCGATATCAAGACTCTCTTCTGGTCCGTACAAAGCTGAGAAGTCTGCTCGAAAAATCAGAATTGATCAAAGACATAAGGTCGGTTCCTTCTGGAATAGCCCTCGTGGCCCCCTCATCTGATCAAATTCCTGATCTCATGCAAGCAGCCATTGCTTTACAACCAGCCACAGGAGCTGTACCAATCGAAAGACAAGAAAAACGAGAGAATTTCCTCCTCAGCCCAGTACCCAAATACGGGTACAACGCTTCTGGATCTCCTAAAGCTCTCTCTGATGCTGACATCTGGGAAGAACTTGCAGTGGCGAAAATCGACACAAAATTGATTTTCTCTATTAGTTAGACACGTAATTCACTTGCATCTCCTGATTGGAAAGGAACTCTCAGACTAGTAGTTGCAAAGCCAGCTGCAGATAAGCTCCCTTCCAGCGTCCGCTTATTTGCTCGGTCCGCTAAAATTCGTCCGGCCGACAATTGCCCACGCCTACATGTCTGCCCACGCTGCCACGGGTTTCACAGTATTAACGCCTGCACCCGTACAGTTCGTTGCGGAAATTGCGCGTCAAACTTCCATGATGGACCGTGCGCGACTCCCACCAAGTGTCTGAATTGTGCAGGCCCTCATGCTGCCTCAGCTCCCGGATGCCCAGCTCGGTCTTTTCGAGCTAACGGAGTATTCGTTCGCCCTGACAAGGAGAGAATACGGATTATGCGCCAGGAGGGACATAAGTCCTGGCTCGATCTTAATCCCCCCCGCCCCCTTCTGACCCCCTCACTGGGTCTCCATTGGCACAACCCTCGTGCACCAAGATTCCAGCCCCTGTTCTCACAGTAGGCTCGGCATCTAGGTTTGCTCCTCTGATTTCCCTTGAGGAGGAACAATGAGGGATCGAAACCGGGGTCGAAGAAGGCAGAAGACTACAAGTCTCTGCTTCTTCCAGATCAATGTAGGTAGACGTGGCCCTGCTCACGATGCTGCCCTAGAACTTGCCTCCAAATGTGGGGCTGATGTGGTACTAATCCAAGAACCCTGGGTATCCACAGACCTAACTCGAAGAATAACAAAAACCCACCCGAACTTCCAAGGCTTCTCTCCTCTTCCCAACTGGACAGTCCGGCCTCGAGTAATGACGTATATCCGCAAGGGTCAAGGACTATCTCCTTTCCAGCCGGCCATACATTCCCGGGGTCTTCTGCGAGTCCGGATTGCACGAAAAAACAAACAAATTGTTGAATGTTGGAATGTCTACAACGCCCCAACCGGAGCAATTGGCTCCGGGGAGGGCCTTCAGCATCTAATGACTACCACAGGTAATCCGGATATTCTTGCGGGAGACTTTAACATCCATCATTCGTCCTGGGATCCGAAAGCTAGGAGTGACAGTGTGGAAGGTGACTCTTTACTCTCTTGGACAGCCTCGAAAGGACTTAGACTATTGAATCAACAGGGAACTCCTACACATGACGCCGGGGCTGCTCTCGACCTCTGTTTTGTCCGAAACAGCGTGAGTGCTTCTTGCGAAATTCGACAAGACCTGGAAGTCGGCTCTGATCATAGTACAATCCTATGTCAAGTATTTGATTGGGAAGCCGAGAAATCTGTACCAGGTAAGCTTCAATTTGCTGCCTGTAACTGGGAATTATTCCAAGACTTTGTCACAAATCGGCTTGCAACACCTCCCTCCCATATCATTGAAGAGGAGGCCTCAACCATTGTCGACATTGTCTCAGGAGCTCTCTTCGCTTCCTACCCAAGATCACGTAAACAAGTAACAAAAGCCGGCTGGTGGACTAAGGAGCGCACTCAAGCCCATTTAAACTTTTGCAGAGCTCGGCGCGCGGGTCTA